ATATAACCAATAACGTTGCCACAGCCTTCTCTCAAAATGGCTGCCTGTTGCAGAGGACTGTATTTAGCTTATTGGATAAGTACATGGCGTTACTTAATGAGGTGTTGCAGGCAGCTTACTGTGTGTTGTAGTACGTATATTGGAGTTCTAGTTAGTTTCGTGGCTATGGCTTTATTGGGTTCGCATTTAAGCTCATATAACTGAGGATACGGAAGGCTGACTTGCTGATACCTTTGTCTGAATCGAGTTCAGCACCAAGGACAGGGCCATGATTCACAAGGTTTTTCTTAATATCTTTATTAAGATATTTTTCTTCTTTTTTTCAAATAAAAAACATAATATGTATGATGACACAGGAAAAAATAAAGAAAAAAACTATTATAAATCATGCACTGAAATATGTATTTGAAGAGAGTTCAGCACCAGGGACAGGACCATAATGTACAGAAGGTCTTTTTTGTTTACCTTTACAGAAAGAAAACATATTGTTTTTGCTCAAAAAGAAATAGATATGGCACAGTGATCAATTACAAACAGTAACCAGAAAACACTGATAAATCATTCTATTAAACAAGTCTGCACAAAATCGCTACAAATTTGGTAAATAATGGTAAACAATTTATCAAATCAAATTGTATACAAAGATCTTTTCGCAGTTGTGGTTTAAGAATTGTAAAAGTGGTATAATTGGTATAAGCTACATGTACATCAACTCTGAGTGCTGTATATATTCTGCCTCTCACAGGTTTTTCTTACTTTGTTAGGCCACACCAATTTAATTTGTTGGTTCTCGGATTTTTTCAGAAAAAATATGAAGCGACAGGGCGAAAAAAAATAAAAATAAAAACAGGTCTAGGCGTCCTATTATAGGCTTAAATGCTACGAAATGAGCCATGAAGTCAACACAAAAGGCTGGGTTAAAATTTAAACATTGAATTTTGAACTTTTAATCAAACCACTGCAATGATAGATGAGAAAACTGTAACAACTAGGTAGAAAAGGACTTTCCTAAACTGTTGGGGGCAAAACATGAGCATTTTTCAGTTGATTCAGGACCAGAATCAAATTTTTTTTTTTTGCAAATCAGAAAAAAAACGAAGAGGCGAATCCGAGAACCAACAAATTAAATTGGTGTGGCCTTATCAGTGAGTGAGCAAATTGGGTGGGTGTATCTTTCTTGGCATCAGGTATAGACCAGTGATTGCTTGCACATAGACTCCGCAGCTATTTTCTGCAACAGTGCGCAGTGCGCTGTACTTCAGCCAAGTTCTGCTATCTGAAGAAAATCCACCTCTTGGGCTCGAAATGTTTTTTCTGCATATACTAAGTGTACTGGTGCATGGAACATTGAAAATCACCTGCACCAGACAAATTTTACCTGCACTACTCAGAATTGAGGAAGTATGGATCATACTAAAAACTATTCACAAATTACTGCCATTATTTTGTTTACACTTCAAATATCTGCTCAGCTCCAATTTTACCTACATCCATACATAAGTACATTTCCAGTTTTTTGTACCACTTTCTGATCAACTGTTGACTAAAAACTATTCACATATCACTGCCATTATTTTCTTTACACTTCAAATATCTGCACAGCTCCAATTTCACCTACATTCATAAATACATTTCCA